AGAAGTCAGTCAGCAAACCGAGTAAAATAATTATTACGAACGAGTAAAAGCTCCATTAACCGGTAGTGTTTACAATTACAACTATCTACCACCCCTCCCTGAGTAATATCACTCCTCCCCACCCCTCCCTCAGTGGTTTTCGACTGCACCCACCCCTCCCTGAGTACTAAAGGTGCGCCTCCTCCTTACAAAATAATTAAAAAATCGTCCAAAAAATAGTCCAGAAAATCGTCCAAAAATTCGTCTAAAAATAGTCTAGTCCAGTCCAGATTTTACCCTATGCCATGTGTTGCGTGCTCGTTGGTTCGCGAATTGATCGAACTAATTGGGGAAACATCTTATCCAGTCATCAGGCTCGCCGGCTTTTATAAAGTAGCGCATTAACTGAATGGAAGAATTGTATCGAAGTGCCCAGCCTTAAATAGACCCAAAGCTTCAGATTAAAACTTGGTTGTGAATTTTGGCATGGGTGCGCCGTTTAGTTCACGTTTATGGATCTTAGCCAGAACTTGATTTAATTTATTCCTTCAAGATCGCACCACGGCTATATGAAAGAGTTCATTGTTTACGATTTTTATGGACTCGACCGGACTTATTACCGACAATTTTGAGTGTGCATTTGTTATTAATTGATATTGTTGACAGAAGAAGTGCACGGTAAACAGCTGTAAGGGCTAGGAATTTTTTAGAGAGCCGATTTGTGCCGAATCGCCTTACAACTTGAAACGTTGTCAGTTAAGTAATGCCACTAAAAATATTTTGAAGTGAACATGGAAGCAAGCCCGTGTGGAAATGTTTGGAACACTACGGCCTTAGTATCTCAATTGCGACCGATAGGAAAACGCAAATATAGCGCAATATTCACTTTGGCACACATCTGTTGGCAATGAATATCAAAATCATGAAATGAAATGAAGTTTGCTGTGCGCGTAATGGTCATAAAATACTGGGTTTTCTGTTTCTGCCTGTTTCCCTATAACGACATTTCTAATCACTTAGTCTTTCTCAGATCCTTCCTTTTCACAGAAGAGGCAATACCGGCGAGGCACCGTATTCGAAAAAGCCTCTCTTTCGATTATTTAGGTATGATTCTTTCGCTTGTAAATATGAATGCTTAAAAACATTATATCAAAAAAGTCATCAGTTGAGACCACAAAATGTAAACTTATAAGAAAAACAGATACTTAATTGGTTTCTCTTTACACTTGTTTGCTTAGGTTTAAGATACACATATGCTGCGCCAGCAAACCTCTCCTATGAAAATTGAGATTAAAACATCCAGACCAATAATGGTTATGAAATAGGAAAGACACGAATCACTTTGTTGGTAACTTGGTGAGAAAAGCAAAATTTTATTTATATTACCGGATCGATCTTTTGCACCTACTTGACCATTCTAACTGTGAGCTGACTCGTTTACTTCCTTATGAGTTTTAATTTTCAATCAACTGCTTTAAACATCATGCACAAGAGAATATTCTATGTAAATCCAGCAAAAGAATGAAAGCCATACCTTTTATCTTTAAAGCCGCACAATCCTGGGAAAGTCGTTACGATTGCTTCCCGAGTCTGCTTTTTGGTCATTCCAGTGGTGAAACAGACCTCTTGCACCCTTCCCTCCCGATTCAATAAATCCCAGATGTGCCCACGTGGGGTGGATTTAACTTTCTTCTTCAGTCATACCAACTCGCGTCTAATTTCTCGTCCTGAAGGTAAAGATTCGCTACTTGAAGAGGAAGAGCTATCACTGCTAGCCATCTTGATGCTTGTGGAATGAGCAATTATCGTTGATGGGGAGCCTATTTTATAGTAGTAGCGTCTCTCTTGGGGTTGTTCGTGGTTACTTCGCACCTTCGCAGGTGTCATTCGGGAAAAAATTTATACGTGCGCTAGTTTAGAGAAAACCCTAACAAACTATACATCAAAAGAAGGTTTAACAAATGCAGTTTACAATGAAAATATCGAAATGTAAATATAATGTAGAAGGTAAAAATATAATTTAGACGTTTTTCTCATTAAGGGAGTGTCAAGAGCGTAGTCACTAAAACAAGGAATGACCTACAATTAGCTACAATGACCTCCAATGACCTACAAAAAAGGTGCCAAAGAAGACTAAAAGCCTCATGATGGTGTGAAACCCTTTTTGTTTTGCTTTCTAAAAATATCATTGAGTTAAAGGTTCTTGACAGGCCAAACACGTCTCATAGCGAATTGTTTGTCGCAACTGCTTGTTATTAAAATTTCTCTCTAAGCCAAAAATATATATGACGATTACAGTAATCACTACGTGTCACGTCTGCGGAACCAGTTCGTGTGGCCGCGGCATTGACTGCAAACAGCTCGGTGATTATGGCGTTTGAGTTGCCGTTACTAAAGCCCGAAGCTACCGATTTCTCTGACTTGCCGCTGTTTGATTTTCACCTTTAGTGTCCTTTGGCGTTGTTTTTTACCCACCTATAGTGTCAAGGAGTAGTTAAAAGCAAAACTGCCAGACGTTTCCAAGTGATTTTTAGTGGGAGGATGTGTAGAAAACGAAGACCCTGGGTCTTGGGTCTTAGGTCTTAGGTCTTCGTAATCTACACTCCCTGGGGAAACGGCCGAAAATTATGGTAACTTTTGTCTGAGTGGGATTCACCCAACGTAATTACTAAAAGAAGAAATGACCTAAAACCACCCACAACCATCTAAAACCACCTACAACCACCTTCAGAATACTATTGTGTGACAATTTGTGACAATGTAAATGCACACCGGAAATGCGAAATTACTAAAAAAAGAAGGAATGACCTATTACCACCTAAAACCATCTAAACCACCTACAACCACCCACAGCCACCACCTACAACCAATTAAAACCACCTACAACCACCTTCAGAATACTATTGTGTGACAATTTGTGACAATTTAAATGTAAACCGGAAATGTTGTCCAGCCCCATGATGGTGTGATGGCCTTTTTGTTTTGCTCTCTAAAAATGAGTTAAAGGTGTTGGCAGGCCAAATACGTCTCATAGTCTCGCGGCGCTGTGGTACGTGACCTTATTAATGGTTTTGATATGAAAACATCAATTAGTAAAAGATGTTGACAGGCCAAATACGACTGATAGCCTCATGATAGTGTAAAATTATAGGAGGCTTGTTATATAAGACCCTTAAAGACATCTTAAGCCGAAGGTTTTTCGTACTTTTTTCATCATTATCGTCATTAGACATGTCTCATTATAATACACAGTAAATTTATCTCCAAGCTAGAAATTCTGCTATCAACCACGTTGCGTTAATGCACACGTCTCCTGTTTTGTTTTTTTTTTCTGTCTTTTTTTAATATCTTCATTTACTTCATTGCAGGGATCTTACAGTAGCTCACTGTAGGTCATTGTAGGTCATTCCTTGTTTTAGTAGCTACGTGTAAAAGATTCTCTTGGTGTTTTTCCCTGGTCATGCCATGCGAGACATGCGACAACATTTCTGGTGTGCATTTAAATTGTCACAAATTGTCACACAATTGTATTCTCAAGGTGTTTGTAGGTGGTTTTAGATGGTTGTAGGTGGTTGTAGGTGGTTTTAGGTCATTCCTTCATTTAGTAGTTACGATTCACTCAAGCGCTATATTATGACACCTTCCTAGTTTACTGATTGTTACGAGTAATTATGAACAAAATATCTTTTTAGTTACCTTTTGTTATGCTAAATTTTCCGTTAGTGGTATACGCAGAATAAAAATTCTCACGGCATGTGAAAACTAACTTTACCTACGTTTCCTGGTCATGTCTGCATTGATTTAACGAAACACATGTTGTTGTAAGTGTGAGAACATCACAAGAACGTTTTCAGGCTTATAAAGACGTTCAGCCCCAGTTACAAACTTAGACTAGCACGAGTCCTTCGATACAAGCTTTTCTTCATCCACGAATAAGTTTTAGACCTTGAGTAGCACTAGGTGAAGAGAGGTTGCATGGGGTCATGCGTGTGGGAATTTCTCGTGGCAAAAGGAAGTTAGCAGAGGAAAGCAGTAAAGAAGAATTTCAAGAATTTCTTCGCGACCAGGTGCGCAAAACACCACCATATTAGTCTAAGTTTGTAGCTGGGGCTGAGTGTCGTTCTATTTTGAGAAGCTTGAAAACGTTCCTGTGATGTTCTCACACAAGCATATGCTTTTCATTAAATCAATGCAGACGTGACCAGGAAACGTATGTTACAATTGTTTATTGCAATGTGTTAGGTCAAGTTAGTTTTCACGTGCTGTGTGACTTCTTATGCCGCGAATAAAACTCGTGGCAAATTTAGCATAACGAAAGGTAACTAAAGAGGTTTACAAGCAACTATCTTTCGTGTATAGTGTTCAAAATTATTCGTAAGAATCATTAAAAGAAAAAAAACAACAGCAACAACTCTTCATTTTAGTCACGCGCGTTCTCATCTGGGGGATGAATGAGCCAAGCGCTTGAGTCTCTTTGTACAAACTTCTTGCGACATACCCTGATATCCGTTCTGTGTTTTAGGATTTGGAGTCACATTCCGTCGTTCCGGATTAGAGTTGAAAGGAAGCAATAAAAGAAACATTGAATATTCTCTGAAGAAAACAAATGAATCTTTATTGGAGTACTTTATCCATAATTCATAAAACTGCAAAAAGAAGCCTACTATTCTGTATAGTTGGTGTATTGTGAGGCTACCACAGGCAAGAAATTTGCAATTATGTCGTCAAGACCTCGCCACTGTCTCCACACTCTATCATCGAGGTAGGCCTGGAGGTCATCGCGGGATATTCCACGCCGTGCTTTAAGAGGCATTTTCAAGTTGACCCACGCCGACTCGGCTTCTTGTGTATGGATACCAGTTGCGGGATACACAAATTTTCCAAGTGAACTGCAACTCGATGACAGGCGACTCGATTTGGCAAGTGTCTTTGTAGATTGCGATACGCTCCCCAGTCGTCTGTATACACAGTGCTTCCTGGTTGTAGGCACTTAGCCAAAATTGGCAAAAGAGTGGCCCGATCCCTACGCCTGACTACCTGATAGAAGCCCTTGGCGGGACTTGTGGCGGTGTATAGGACACCAAACACCCAGACGTCAGGGGCTCGTCTTCCTCTGTTGTACTAAAATAGAAGATATAGTTCATTACTTTTTTAATGTAACTGCTTCAGACGTCGGAAAATGTTCTAACAAAGGTTTTCCAGCACAGTATNCAACGCAACTATCTTTCGTGTATAATGTTCATAATTATTCATAAGAATCATTAAAAGAAAAAAAAAACAACAACAACAACTCTTCATTTTAGTCACGCGCGTTCTCATCTGGGGGATGAATGAGCCAAGTGCTTGAGTCTCTGAACAAACTTCTTGCGACATACCCTGATATCCGTTCCGTGTTTTAGGATTTGGGGTCATATTCCGTCGTTCCGGATCAGAGTTGGAAGGAAGCAATAAAAGAAACATTGAATTTTCTCTGAAGAAAACAAATGGATCTTTATTGGAGTACTTTATCCATAATTTATAACACTGCAAAAAGAAGCCTACTATACTGTATAGTTGGTGTATTGCGAGGCTACCACAGGCAAGAAATTTGCAATTATGTCGTCAAGACCTCGCCACTGTCTCCACATTCTATCATCGAGGTAGGCCTGGAGGTCATCGCGGGATATTCCACGCCGTGCTTTAAGAGGCATTTTCAAGTTGGCCCACGCCGACTCGGCTTCTTGTGTATGGATACCAGTTGCGGGATCCACAAAATTTTCCGAGTGAACTACAACTCGATGACAGGCGACTCGATTTGGCAAGTGTCTTTGTAGATTGCGATACGCTCCCCAGTCGTCTGTATACACAGTGCTTCCTGGTTGGAGGCACTTAGCCAAAATTGGCAAAAGAGTGGCCCGATCCCTACGCCTGACTACCTGATAGAAGCCCTTGGCGGGACTTGTGGCGGTGTATAGGACACCAAACACCCAGACGTCAGGGGCTCGTCTTCCTCTGTTGTACTAAAATAGAAGATATAGTTCATTACTTTTTTAATGTAACTGCTTCAGACGTCGGAAAATGTTCTAACAAAGGTTTTCCAGCACAGTATATTTGTAGAGTAACTTGACAGGAAACAGTGATTCACCCTTAAATATTTTACACCATCAACTTTGGTGTGAACACTTTTAAGCCGTATACTAAGTTTTTTTAAATCTTGTTGCTAATCGTGTACTTTGAGTAAAATTTGTATGTTTTTTTTTAATACGAATACCTCAGCTCGGGTGGAATTTGTTCGATTAAATGCTGCTACTTAAAACTTAGCAAGTTTTGAATTTACCTTTGCTTTATGGTTAAATTTACTCTCGTCACATTTCACAACGGCTGCTCCTCCGGCTGGAAACGGGAGGAATGGATTTGTCGCTAATTCCACGGAACAAATATCCTCCAAGGCACGAAATACTTTGCAAACCAGGTTGTTTGAGATGGCCAACATCCGCGTCGTCTTCTTACGGCTTAGGTCCACCGACCAGAAGTATATCAGCATAATGAGCTGCCCTAGAGATTGCTTCGGAAATTTGGCAAAGAAAGAATTTTTCCTAATGCTTCGTTTCATTTTGCAAGTAAAGCATCTCCTGAAAAAAAGATTGAGACCAGGTGAGACTACCGTTTTAAAAAATTTTCGGTAGTCGTGAATATCTAGATATCCTCATATCTGTTACAACAAAAAAAGGGGAAAACGAAAAAGAGAATAAATGATGACAAGGGAATCATACATCCTTTTGAGTTACAATTGATTACCATTTTATCAAGTGCAAATGAGGCGTCAGCCGTGGCCCACCTGGTCCTGCCGTTCAAGAAGAATAAACTACGAGCAGAAGTTCACTAAAGCGCTTATGTCGAGGCTGTTTTGGTTTTCGTACAGTTTTTTGCTACTTATTTTCTCTTTTGTTTTCCTTATACAAACAGATCAAGTTGGATATTAAATGAGATTGATTTTAAATTACCATGATTATGGTCATCTTGCTGAGCTTCTTAGTCTTAATAGGATAACTTACCTTCGCGTAAAAGTTTCCATCGAATTCGACAAAATATATCTTTAATCGGAATACTACAAAACGAAGACTAAATATCTGAGGCCTCAAAACTTGATCCATAATTACTTTCATGCAAAATCTAGGCTACAAATACTCTTCCCTACCATCGAAATCCGTCCACGTGGGCATCGGATCGTTGAATCATTATCATGTCTTGGTTGCACTCGCCGCAGTGC